GCATTGAAAATTGGGTGGGTCAAATGTTTGTTAGTGGGATGAATTGTAAAGGACCTGCCTAGTATGGGCCAACAGGCCTGCTGCAGTGTTCCTCCTTTCTTATGTTCTTAAACAGGTCTTCACAGAGCTAAGTACACGTCACCAGGGTGTCGAACCAGGTAAGAACCAGAAATAATGAATTTAGGTTAGATAAATTTAGATTTAGGAAGGACATAGGCAAGTACTGGTTTTCAGAGTTGCGGATGTGTGGAACAAACTTCCGAGAAGATGGAGGCTAGGACCTTGCGCAGCTTTAAAAAGAGATTGGACAAATGAGTGGGAGGGGCTGAGTTTGATTGGTGTCGTAGGTATGGGAGTAAATTCTTGGGTAATTTAGGGTAGGGGTGGTTTTGATAAGGACCTGCCTTGTATGGGCCAGTAGGCCTTCTGCAGTGTTCCTCCATTATGTTCTTATGAGCACTCCAGTAGGCCTACTGGCCCATGCGAAGCAGGTCCAATTCTCCTACCGGCTTAAGCCAACGCCCTAACTAGTCAGGTCAGGTCATATCACATTCTCTTAAGGAAGGAACACGGCATCTGACCTAGTAGCACAAGCTAGTTAGGTCCAACTCACACCCGCTCATATATTGATCTAACCTATTTTAAAACTATACAACGTCTTGGCTTCTGTGACGGTACTTGGGAGTTTGTTCCATTCATTCACAACTCAATTACCAAACCAGTGCTTTTCTACTTCCTGAATCTGAATTTTTCCAACTTGAAGCAACTGTTGCGAGTCCTGTCTAGGCTAGATATTTTTAGCAAGCTATTTACATCCTTTATTTATTACTGTTTTCCATTTTTTTTTCATCACACCGGCCGATTCCCACCAAGGCAGGGTGGCCCGAAAAGGAAAAACTTTCACCATCATTCACTCCATCACTGTCTTGCCAGAAGGGTGCTTTACACTACAGTTTTTAAACTGCAACATTTCCATTTATACACCTCAATCATATCCTCCCTAATTCTACGCCTTTCTTGAAAGTGCATATTCAGGGTCCTCATAGGGAAGATTTCTGATACATGGGATCAACTTTGTCATCCTCCTTTGTACGTTTTCCAGTGCATTTATATCTATTCTGTAATACAGTGTAATAAAGTTGGTAGAATTACCGACAATATGTAAAGTAAAAGGACACAAGTGCAACTAATGTGACATTTATTGTGGCAACGTTTCGCTCTCCAGGAGCTTTATCAAGGCATTGTAATGGCTTGATAAAGCTCCTGGAGAGCGAAACGTTGCCCCAATAAATGTCACATTAGTTGCACTTGTGTCCTTTTATTGTAATACAGTGACCAAAACTGCGCAGTATAATCTAAATGAGGCCTAACCAAAGATATATAGAGTTGAAGAACAACCTGAGGACTTCTATTATTTATACTTCTTGATATGAAGCCAAGAACAATTATGCACCGTTATCTTGGTTTCAGATTACTGCTAACCAGAACTCCTAAATCCTCATCGCAATCAGTAATATACACTAAATAATGTAGATCTTAATAACATTTAGAACTTTGCATTTGTCTATATTAAACTGCATCTGCCACTTCTCCGACCACTGCATCAATCTATTCAAATAACCCCGGAGTGCTCTAATGTCCTCAGAATGAATTGGACGGCTTATTTTGGTGTCATCAAATTTATGTCGCTATTTATTCCCTAATCTATGTCATTTATGTAAACTGTGAATAACAACGGGCCTGACCCCTGCGGAACATCGCTTGTGATGTGCCCCCATTCTGATTTCTCCCCATTTATGCAAACACTGCTGCCTAGGCACCAAGGGTTCAGGATATTTCTACACCTTTAAGATATGGATAAAAGGCACAAATGCAGTATAATGTAGTCCATTGAAAACGTTTTGCCTATGCAGGGAGCTTTCTCAAGTCTGGCTTGAAAAAGCATCCCCTGCGTGAGCAAACTGTCAGTAAAGAATCTTATTATACTATATTTGTGATTTATCCATTATGTGGGTATTTAATAACCTTAAGATTTAAGGAACAGCCAACATAGCCCAAAGTGTCCTGAAGAGGCAACTAAAATTACCTACCATCCATCATTGTTGACGAAGAATAAGACATGTCGGTTTTTTTAAACCATTTTTATCACATCCCTGATGAGCCAGGCTGTGGTGCCTCTATCGACCTGCGTGCAGCATGCACTAACAGCCTGACTGATCAGACAAGTACCAAAATGTAACCAAGAGAACGATGGTCTCCATAATCATGTCAAGTAACAGACCACTATGAACCTGTATCTTTCCTAACTGTAACCCTCCTTCCCCCGCCCACCAGTCTACTTCCTTCCTCTTCTACTTATCATCAAAGTCTACCTCTTCCTCCTCCAATAAGCACCATCAGTCACTATTCTTCTCATCATAATCCCATCCTCCTCTTTACATCTCCACCATAACTACCACTATTCTACATTCCTCTTCCCTTCACCACAAAAATCCACACTTGCGCTGTACCACCACAGAATGCATATTCTTCCTGCCCCGCTACATCACCCCCTCAATTCACTTTCACAATTCCCTCCCCCCCATCACTCCACCTACTCTTCCTCCACTAAACCTAGTGGAACACACAGTAACTCAGTAGTACGGACATCGGTTCATAGCTGAATGACCTGGGTGAATCTCGGGCCGGACAAACATTCAGGCACATTTAGCGAGTAGTCCTGTAGTGCCTGCCCACCCAGCATGTTAACCCATTGTTGCATTTATGAACAAAATGTTAAGGTAATGTGGAAGGCCCGTGACTGGTGCTGGAAGCGAGTCTATCAACAAGCTGTTACTGAGGAAGCAAGTCCACTTCACTGTTCCTATCAGATGATCCTTATCACCACCTTTAACACTGGTCAACAACCAAAATGTTTCCCAGACCAGAGTAGCAATTTCCAACTAATTTTAGGTCACTGATAATGAATATCATGGTTAAAATTGTTTGTTAGCTCTTACTTTTCAGTATACACCTACGTGTCACAACAGGTTCCAACAGGCTTGTGACAGCGTGTTTCTTACCACACTCACAGTCTCACTGACCATTATTGTTCCAGCAGTCATAGAAGGTGGTTGTGATGTCCAAGTTTATATTTTGAGGTGAAAGGCAGCTGATTTTCTTAGCCAAACACTTTATAAACTTATAAATATTCACTGAGCAAGCTATTAATATGCATGTGAGGCATATTATATTAATTTTATTTTCCTACTGAACGATATAAATACTTCTGCTTAGCTGTCATGTTCTGTATTATAATGATAAATTAATGAATAAATTTTCTATTTTCTAATTGTTTGTCTCCTTTTAGATGCCTCATACTTGTTATTTCTGCATGGTACCTCCAGTACAAAAGGGTTTGTCAAAGAAAAAAAGTGGTCCATTGAATATCCAAACATTCCATCAGCTATTCGCCCAGTTCCACATGGAGAAAGTCTACTTGTTCCTGATGCACCAACTTCGGTATCCTTCAAGTCAGATGAAGAAAGTGGTGAGGAAGAAGAGGATAAAGATGACGGTGCTTTATTACAGAGTGACTGAAACTTTGAGGAAGCACTCTTCTCTAGGCCACATCTCATAACAAGAGGGTAACTCCATGACCTTGTCAAGGATCTGCGACTACCCAAAAATAAGACAGAGCTACTAGGCTTTCGTCTTCAACAGTGGAATCTCCTAGCAGCTGATTTCAAAACCTCATCAAGGCTTACAAGAACATGGGATGTAATATGTCACTTAAAATCCACTTTTTGGATTCGCATTTAGACTTTTTTCCAACGAACTGTGGGGCAGTTAGCGACGAACATGGTGAAAGGTTTCACCAAGATATTTCAACCATGGAAAAATAGTACCAGAGCAAATGGGGCACAAGAATACTTGCAGACTGTTGCTGGACATTGGCAAGAGATGATTCTTCAGGCCACTATAAGCGTCAAGCAAAAAAGCAGAAAGTACGGATTAGAGTTTAAAACATGCTGACACATTGTACGTTATAACCTATAGCCAAAAAGCATTTTTCAAGGTGATATTTGGATTCAGGACATGAAAATGCATAAGAATTAACTTATTTAAGAAGGATACATCTTTTCAAAAATTGTTGACCAGTGAGTTGATTATAAAAACAACTGATTTTCACCACCGCAGCAATCAGCTGGTCGTCACCCCCCCCCAGAACAATCAGCTGGTCGTCACCCCCCAGAACAATCAGCTGGTCGTCACCCCCAGAACAATCAGCTGGTCGTCACCCCCAGAACAATCAGCTGGTCGTCACCCCCAGAACAATCAGCTGGTCGTCACCCTCCAGAACAATCAGCTGGCTGTCACCCCCGCAGAACAATCAGCTGGTCGTCACCCGCAGAACAATCATCTGGTCGTCACTCCTAGAACAATTAGCTGGTCGTCACCCAGAACAATCAGCTGGTCGTCACGCCTAGAACAATCACCTGGTCATCTCATAACATTTATCGACTAGCACGCTCTAAAATTTTGTAAATTCGTATGAAGGTCATCCTGTGTGATGAATCACGACAGTGAAACAGTTTAATTTGTATTATAGAAGTAGGTAGTGCATACTTCAGGTGTTACCACAACGTCAAAGCGTAGCTGCACACCGAGCGTGTTCCCATTATGTAACTGTCATAGAATACGGTAGATGAAGACTGTGGGTGGTGCCACACTAACACTCGTACGAATTTAGGTATTCGCACACTGTTCTTGCTCTGCTTAAAAAAAACCACTCCGTCGTGATGCACTGCGATGAAGTAACGAAAGTTCCTTAAAGGCTGAGCACAAACTTCATGATATAAATACCCGCACTGACACATCATACACGAGGGAGCAATGACTTCAACATTAATCACTGGTCAGTGCTTAATTATTGCAAGCCACCATCACTCGCGGAGAACACTAATACATCCATCTCAGGGAATTTCCTGCACAGCTCCCTTTATCTTGTGCTTACTAACATGCTAGTGGCTATAAACAGTTGTTCTCGTATTAATTTGTTTCACACACACGCACATACACACTGGAGGTGATAAATGCAGAGGTATCGAGGAGTTCCCGGACTATCGTGCTCAGACAACGGAGGGAAGGAAACAAGTCGAGCTTGACGAGGCGAGGCTTGCAAAGCACCCGCCTCACCTGTGCTGCCAACACCACTGCTGGCATCACTCGTACTGCAATCCATCCCACATCTCTTAAGTTTCAGTTTGTGCTTGATACACCTGTGCACGAAAATCTTTATTTGACAACCATGGAAATTCGAAGACAAGAGAGAGCGTTATCCAAATACAAAATTTATTATACTTTGAGATACTCTTGGTCATACGTGAGGCAGGGTTGTATAGGCAGGGCGAGCAGCATGTGGTGGTAACTGAGGTGTGTCAGCCTGGCTACTCTCAACAATGCTATACCTGTACACACTGTATAAACTACAAGTATCCTCTCTCTCACACACACACAATGTTCACTAGCTCACCAATAACAGGATACAACAGGTATAACAAATATATGTTAACAGGGAAAATTTATAAGAAGGCCGTACCAATGACAGGTAGTTTCCGGGTTGCGTCACCCACGACTATGACGTCATCTCCAATAATTTGTGCACACACATACCACTACACTACGGCCTCAGTGCATCTCTCTACCACTAACTGGCCTCAAATCACAACAGGAACCGTATGTTTCTGCTATACTGGTGTAGGTGACTGAGGTGCTCACGCAAGCGTGTAGGTGGACCATACCGGTAATACAGTCTTGTTAAAGCCGTGTAAAACCGAAGCTTGTTCAACACTTCGTTCACGCAGGATTGCTGGTGTTTCCTGTCAAATTTAACCTAACAGGTATGGGAAATTTTGGTTACAAAATCAATATAACAAACGTGACGTTACATTAAGAAACACTTAAATTATATTAATTTTAAATCAAACCTACGCTTTAAACTTCATTTTAAGGGGATACTGAGTAAAATCTTAATATTTAATATGAAAAAAAAAAACTTGTACATCCAGTAGACACATTTACTTTCCTGTATTTTTTGACAGCTCTTTCATCAATAAAATTTAGTTTTCATTTGGGTGGGCTTGATGTGAGAGCGGGCAGCGGAGACGACGATCATGGGAACTAGTACCAGACATGTACAGGTCAAGATACCGCAGCCAGTCTCAGTAGAACTGTTACAACAACCGTAGTCAATAATGGAAGGTTAACACCACAACGGACCCCATATTTTTACTATAACTAGATGTATTCCGACAGTTGTGCCATCCAAGAAAGTGAACAAGGCTATATAATACCGACAAAACATAAAAGGAGAAGTCTGGCCACAAGTAACGAAATTTCAATAAATTTCTTGATTGTGCATGTGTGGTACTGCGACGATCAGCAGCGCCCTCTACCTCAACCAATGCAACACACTAGTTCAACCTCAAAATCCTTAAAAGGCAGATGAACTTTGATATACCTTTGATGAGTTCAGAGAGTTTTTCTACTCCCAGAGACCGGTCTCGGGCCAGATCCGTCTGATGTTTGACGTCAACCATGCTGTTGCTGCTGGAGGCCCGCTGACCAACATATCCATCACAGCCTGGTTGATCCGGCACCTGGTGAAGATCCTTGTCCAGTTTCCTCTAGAAGACTTATACACTTGTCCCAGCAGTTTCTGATATTTTATGGTAAGATGTTGAATAGTCTGGGGCCACGAACGTTGATATATTGTTCCCTTATTATGCCCACGGCGCCTCTGCGCTGTCTTCCATCTCTCTCTCCAGAGACCTAGGAGTTAGGATCTCAACCCTCCCAAGGAGTCCGAAAGCTGGAGATCAACACCTTCAAGGGCCTTCGAGGTTGGTGCCTGTGATGGGGCTCAAAATCCAAGGAATTAGACCTCTCTTCATTCCCCTTGGAGTAAACTGATATGCTGCCGTTCCTCCAGGAACTATATGACCCTACGGGTTTAACACTCGTAGTAGTAATAGTTGTAATATCTTTAAGAGAACCCGAGAGTTAACTCACATAAGTCGAGCACTTGCAGATTAACCTCAAATGGGTCAGGAGGCAAAGATGAACTCCCGTAAGATGACAAGGAACTGTAATTTCCAGAATCTACATGTGCGCGCGTATGTATGTATATATATATATATATATATATATATATATATATATATATATATATATATATATATATATATATATATATATATATATATATATATAATATATGTCGTGCCGAATATGTAAAACTGGTCAATTAGCAAGAACTCATTTAAAATTAAGTTCTTACTGAAATTTTCTCCTATACGTTTAAAGATAGATTTTTTCATTAAAGTTAATGTAAAAAATTATAATTTTGCACCAAAAGAATCTTAGAAAACTTACCTAACCTTATTATAACAAGCGCAATTTATTTTAGCCTAACCCAACTAAATATTTTAGATTTGTTTACAGTAATTTAATACTAAACAAACACAGTGAAATATATTTTTTTCGTTAGGTTCAGAATGATTTTGGCGAAATTATTGCATACACAAATTTTCGCTTGTCATATATGGCAAGATGAGCGTTGCTATTTAAGCCAAGATCGCAAGTTCTGCCTATTCGGCACGACATATATATAGGGAGGTACCACCTCTAGAACGGGACTGGGAACCCTCATCCTCAGAGAAGAGAATAAACATAATTCAGGGAAAACTTAAGGTTCCCCCCGGAGCTGTTTGAATATTTTCTTCTACCACCCCCTAAGTTCTATGTGAACTTTATTTATTGACAGAATACAGTGACCAAAAAACACAAACATGAATACATTGGTAAAATATATGTAAGATTATGAACCTCCTCCAGCTCCTCCGAAGCCGGACGCAAGCAAAGTATGCAGCAAGCATTTGTCATCTGGACGACCACACCGAGGTGCTGGAACATGAAAGTGGCCGTCCTAGGGTCCCTGGTGGTATCGATAAGTCTAGAACCCATAATATATATATATATGTGCGTGCAAGACAAGCCACGAGGGGTGGAAATCTTTAGCTCAAGTGCTTTCACACTTCTCTGTGCGCCATCAGGAACACAGAGAAGTGCTCCTGATGGCGCAACGTTTCGCTCTCCAGGAGCCTTATCAAGCCGTAACGGCTTGATAAGTTGCATTTGTGTCCTTTTACTTAATATATTATCTCTACACACCCCAATCATTCAACATTACATATTAAACTATCGCTTACTTTAACATCAGTGACAGACTTTGAGCATTTTCTACTCACGCGGCTCAGAACTAATTCATTCATTCATTTACACCCCCAGCTATTATTTTTTACCATTGCAATATATTTTGCTGTCACATTATCTCGTAATTGCTTCTCTAATAATGCTCAACATACATTCAATTTAACTCTCAACCGTTCCTAAAATATAATATTGAAGATCAAATTGTAGCACAGTATTACTCAGAGCTTGTCATCAATGGCGACGCGTCTTTTACTTGATCCAGCATCACACCTTGACTACCTTCATCACCTTCACAAGTCACTCCTCGGAGCATCACACCTTGACTACCTTCATCACCTTCACAAGTCACTCCTCGGAGCATCACACCTTGACTACCTTCATCACCTTCACAAGTCACTCCTCGGAGCATCACACCTTGACTACCTTCATCACCTTCACAAGTCACTCCTCGGAGCATCACACCTTGACTACCTTCATCACCTTCACAAGTCACTCCTCGGAGCATCACACCTTGACTACCTTCATCACCTTCACAAGTCACTCCTCGGAGCATCACACCTTGACTACCTTCATCACCTTCACAAGTCACTCCTCGGAGCATCACACCTTGACTACCTTCATCACCTTCACAAGTCACTCCTCGGAGCATCACACCTTGACTACCTTCATCACCTTCACAAGTCACTCCTCGGAGCATCACACCTTGACTACCTTCATCACCTTCACAAGTCACTCCTCGGATCACCACACATTTCTCCACTATTGTGTCAATCACACAATTTAGTGTTACACGGTGTATATTTATTGACACGAGACTCCTGACAGTTTACATTCAACCTACATCAATTATTTTTTTTTATATTTACGGTGAAGCGTTAAACACGGAAGGGCTATACATTGTCTGGAAACGAGTTCTTAAGGTTTGATCCAAGGAAGGGGAAGGTAACTCCAGTGCCTTTGATCAATATTAAGTCACCTTCCCCCTATGAAGAATGGGAGGGAGAAATGGGGTGGGTCGGTAAACAAGGTGCCTTTGTGATGACCCAAGGCGATCTGCACCTGGGGTGAATTACCAGTGAACCATCCTGGCCTTTATCCTAGGTTATCCTAGGATAAAGGAGGGGAAGGAGGGGACACAACCCAATACTAACCAGACAATGCCCCAGTAAAACCTACCAGTCTAAGGAAAAGTTTACTTTTAAACGATTGCGAGAGAATGACTGACAACATCGTTGGTTTTTCCGACTTTCTATACAACAGTCTACTTCCCTATATACGACAGTAGTTCACACTAACTAAAATAAACTTATGATAGAGCATGACTAAAACCAGGAACTATGTTCACTGCACTTAACATCTGCTGCCAGGTAAACACCAGAATGCTGGAGTATTTAAAACCGGAAAACGAACGCTATTTCAATAAGGAACGTGGTTCTTGCCATAATCTGTGTAATTTATAAGGAACGATCTCTTAGGAGGTTAAGTCGTTGTTGCCACGGCTCCGAGGTCAGCTTTGTTCCTACCACAAAATTTTCATTTCAATTCACAATTTTCCTTATTGAAGTCCAGATCTCGTGTGAGCGAGTTGTCTGGCGGCTATAATTACAACGTAAGCTCACAACACACACATATAAGTAATTACCTTAATAACACTGTCATCCTCATAAAACTGTTTGTTGTATGTTGCATCACGCAGTGCAACGAGTGCAAACAAAAATTTATATCAGAAACCTTCATTTCTTTTCTATTTTTATAATAAATATATATAATATTATATTATATATATATATATATATATATATATATATATATATATATATATATATATATATATATATATATATATATATATATATATAATATATATATATATGTCGTGCCGAATATGTAAAACTGGTCAATTAGCAAGAACTCATTTAAAATTAAGTCCTTTCTAAAATTTTCTCTTATACGTTTAAAGATGTTTTTTTCATTAATGTTAATGTAAATTTTTTTAATGC